TAATAATAATAGATGCAAACACACATTTACAAGATGGGGAGATACTTGGCTCAGTAATACTACAAGTGAGAAGGATCTTGGAATTGTTCCAAATCACAAGCTGAATATGAGGCCAAAGTGTGATGTTGCTGCAAAAAAGGCCAAATTTGTTTTAGGCTTCATTAACAGAAGTATAGTCTCTAAGTCCCACAAAATACTAATTCTATTTGGCACTGGTCAGGGAGCAAAAAAGGTGTCCCTCCCCTGAGGTTTATCCCCCTGCTAATTAGAGCTATACTATTTTATAATACAGAGTCCTCATTCTAACATGCTTGATTCCAGATCTTTTTAATGCCCCTGCCACCTCCCTTCCATGTGTGTTTCATTACTGTGCTCACGCAAGACTTCTCTATTTTCAGCTGTTGGTGGTGGATGGTAAATCAGGACTCCCAATCTGGACCTACGAGTTGCCCTGTCATATGAAAAAATCAGATGCACTATCAGTGTTGACGTTGGACAAAAAATCAGTCTTCCTCTTCTGGGCAAATGAGAAGCAATTTCCCTTAAAAAGCTTGGTGAGTAAGAGTCCAGTTCCCTTATATTACAAGGAAACATAGGTTTTCACTTCAAGAAAGAAAAGATACGCTTCCCAAGCTCATACGCCATTCTGCTTCCTTTGGGAGCCATGCACCCTAGTTTGTTATGTTTGGTTACAGGTTATAGTTACATAATGGGCACATAAAAGCAGTCTGCATGATCTCCGATGTATTTCCCCTTTTCACTTTTTGTATTTTCAAGGGTCAGGCCTGGTTCTGGAGAACACATTGGCGGGCTAGCCCTGACATATCTTCAATACAGTTACAGTACTGTGTTTTCTTTGAAACTCTGTGATGCCTCATAGGACAAAAACCTTTTGGCTGGTTTAGATCAAAAGCATAATACACAGTAATTTGGTACTAATCAAGTCACAGTTTTTAAAAATGAAACTAATAAGGTATTAAGGCAGCAGCTTTTAAAACGATACAGTGGTCCATGTGTTGAAAATGAATTTGGGGTTAAAAAAAGCTAGGGGCTGAAATACAGTAGTATAATTTAAGGCTGAGGCTCATTAAATCTAGTATTCCTTCTTTAGATGGCAGAGAAAGAAAGGAGTGCCTACAGAAGCTTTTGGAGGATAAGAATAAAGAGTTAACAAATAGAGTGGCCAAATTTGGACGTCTGGCATTGAAACCAAGGGATAACTGGCTAAATAATAAGGATAGAATAGGAAGTACTAGAGATATGGTAGAGGATATAAAGCTGATTAAAGTCTATATAGTTTATCAGATGTACAACCTTACCATTGTTTTATCATTTTATTGTGCATTTTAATGTATATGTATCTGTTCAATGGCCAGCGGTTATAATAAACTTTTACGTTGTGGGAATACCTCATACCTCAACTGAAGACCCACATGAAATGACTCAGTTTTTTAATACTGAAATTATATTTTAATATTTTTGTATTTTGTTTTTAACTCAGCATTCTGAAGAATGTACATATTTGTATTTGTACTTTTTAATCTGTTAGCATTGTGTCTGTTCAGCTGGCACCATGCGTGTGTATGTATTATTATTTGTACTTATGTTTTAAACTGGTGGAAATTTGGATCACCAAAGTGGTCAGAACAATAAAGACCATCTTTAATTTAAGGCTGAGGACAGAATCAGCCATGGCCATTTTTCAGAAAGTAAAAATTTCTGATCTGCACCCTACCCCAGAAGTGGCTCACCTCGGTCTAGCTTAGGCCCAGCTGTGCCCAGCTTCCTGTTCAGAAAGGAAGCTGCTCCAATGCAACTTATAATCAAGACCATCAACATATTTAATTTCATTTCAACCAATAAGCTTCATATTTCTACTTGGCTTTGTGCTTCTATTATTTCTTTGATTGTTGTGGTTCTATCTTTAAAAACTGAACATTCTTGTGCTTCCAAGCATGTTTGTCCTATTGCCAACATACTAAGCATCTAATGAAAACATTAACTACCCGATTAGCTTCAGTGCTAGAAACATGCATGTTTATTTTTGACAGGTGTTATCAAAAAGAAGCTTATTAGGACCATTGCCAAAACGTACATGAAAGTGTTATCTTACCACAGGTGTTTGTAGTGAAAAGAAGCATTGTTCCATTTTTTTCCTACTGGTGCTAATAAGGAACTTTGTTTACATTCTCTGCCAATGTGCTTAAATGGCAGCATATCTTTTAGCTGAAATATTCTCACAGCTGTGGCTGAATGTTTTACTATCTCCGCTCAGAGGCTTCAAGACAAGAATATTGCATGTTCTTGCTTATAATTGCCAGTGAAAGGCAAACTGCTTGCAAACAAGAATGAAGCAATCAATTTTCAGTGTTTTATATGAACAGGATCTTATTAACTTTAACACATTTTTTCTGCAACAGACTCACACAGCAATACTTTGGAAGGTGAAAGTGCTTTGGTACAGCTTCATACGCAGTAGTTATAAGGCACACACAAGCGCTGTCTTCACTGAAAGTTACCTTTATACCCTAAGGAGAGACATCCTCCACAATGTATGGTGCTGGGTCTTCGTAGGTGAAGTTACTCACACTGTGGACAGTGTTGGACAGTCAGACAGTTTAAAAACTGTTGGACTGTTTAGGTGTGATTAACTGAAGCCCTGTCATTTCAGTGGGACAAGGGTTGGATGTGATGATCCATACGGTCCCTTGCAGTTCTGCAGTGCTAAGATGATGACGACGATGATGATTAAAATGTGTCTAACTTATGTTGATTACAAGTCTTTGTGGACGAAATAGATCATTTGTGACTTATTCTTCTTCTCAGGAGCCCAGCCCAAGGGTCCACCATCTTTATCTCCTCCATCCCACTTTCCCTACATTCCTCTTGGACCTCAGTAACACAACAGGCACAGTAACTGCTTCATCCAGTGAGTATGTGCTGTTGTGTTTGTGGGGGGGGGAGGAATAAAAGTCAAGGAAGTTAAACAGATGTTTAAAGACTTTCCAGTTTATGATGGAAAGGGTTCGACTCTTAAGGTTCGACTATTAAGAATCTTATAGTGGTGAAGTTGTATTTTTCTGGCCACCTTGTACAAACCTAAAGAAGCAAATTTGTGGATGATCATGTAATAATTTGTAATTCCTGTATATATCCCAATTGATTATGGTTGTAAAGCAGGCAAAGGTTTCAGAACCATTAGTTGTTAATTGTACTATCATATAACTGATGTGTGCTTTTTGTTTTGTAACTGCATTTGCCAAAGTCAGAAACACTGGCAGAGATTGCAGTTTTGCAGAGACATTTGTATTCACTGCAGAGTTTCAGACCGCTGAGCACCATGCCTAGATTTTATCTGTAACTAGAAGCCAAGCTTCAGCACCGTTTCAACAGTCAATGGAAGTTAGCCTGGCTGTCAGATCTGAATGCAGCAAATTACTTAGTGCTCACCAGTATTTTCTTTTTTCTTTCTCCTTGCAAGTTGGAATCAATGATCTTCAGAAAGATGCATTTTATGTCACGGTGACCACAAGCCCCACTTCCGAGCACCAGCCAGGTTTTCTGTCAGTCAGCAAACTCCGTCTGAGGTGGGCCCTCCTGACTCAGAGCCGAGAGGTGCCCCTGAAGGAGACTGATCCCAAAATCAGCCATGGGGAACTGAGGCGGTTTCTTTCTCGGATCAAATTCACGGATTATGCTCACAAGGTGAGATGCTGAAGAATCACTGGCACAGTGCATGTAAGAGGAAGAAGAATTGATGGGGCAATTAGGGAGAAAAGTGATAGAGATGTTTATATTTGAAAGTCTGGTAAATTGCAGAAGAGAGGACTTGAGACACAAGGTAAAATATGTGAGGATAACAGGGAGATGGATCCTAGATTTTGACTTTGGAGGGATAGGTGTGCAGTCTTGATTTTTTCCTAGTAATGATTGTGGTCCTCTGGAGACTTTGTGGGCATAGGCCTTGCACAAACAATTGCAACTTAGAGCTGATGGGGTTGTTCCTTTTTCCAGGTATGGGATGAGCCCCACCACTGATTCTACTTCCATTACATACTGTTGCTTTTGTCACGGACTTGGCTGAGCCATGCATGACGTGAGAGTGTGGGTATTTCTTATCTGACAGCAAGCAGAAACTTTCAGCCAGCTCTGCAGTATGTGACTATTATCAGGACCTTGGCTGTAGAATAATTTTGTATTGTATTGTATGTGACTTTCTTTCTCTCTCTCTTTCTGTCTCCTTCCTACCCCACCCCAGTTCTAGCCATGGGGATTCCTCAGGTTTTTTGAGCAACAGGACAAAAATGTGATGCTGCATATCAGCAGGCCAAGCTAGGTAGCCAGGCTTTGTGAGGCATTCAACTAAGGGACGAGGTGGGACCGGCCATCCAGCTGCCAAGAGCTGTATAATGCTGGGGAGGCTGTTCCAGCAACCCTCAGGCATCCTGACTTGAAGGAACATTGCTCAGCCTTTCAATTGCCACTTCCAGGTAGATATAAGATGTACGTTATGTGCAGGGATACTGGTGTATGTGTATATATGCTGTATTTTTAATTTATATTTTTGTTGTTCCAGAAACTCTTATTTATATCTTAGAAAGATTCAGTGTACTCTGCCTCTTGTTGGTCTACCCTTAGCTTATGACATTCACATTTTGGGTTCCTTCAGCTCTTCTACCTCCTTTGTTTTAGGGTCACCACAGTGTCCCATTCCATCTTCTTCCCCCATCCTCCTTCCGATTCCCAACCAAGGCCAAGTGGCATATGCTGTAGCCCTGAGTGATTGTACATACTTATCCAGAACCAGATGTGTTTTGTGCTGATGTTGAATTTAAAGGCTGTGTCCTCTCTAGTCTCCCCCATTCTGATTATCATGCTGGCATGAGCTGTCCTGGAGTCCGCTATCATCATGAATAAGCAAAAGGCAAGAAAACATTCATCATAATGCTCTTGATCATCACCTATCTTGCAACATCCCATCTCTTGGTGAAGTGCTACTGTGGCAGGGGACACTGTCTGTTTGCAAAAATTATCATCATCATCATCATGAAAATGAAAAACTGGTGTCTTACTCTGGCAAAAGCGGGCAATGAATTGTTATCAGGGTACTGTGACATTTTCCCTTGTGAATGATTCCTTGTTATAACTCTGAGGCTTGGTGACTATTATTTGCTAAACTATATAGAGGAACGTTCCCACTACGTGGTGACCTGTAGATACGTTGTAGTGTAATTCCCATGATGCCCAGCCAGCAGGGCAGATTTCTTACTTACTAGAGAAAGTCAGGTTATTTGCATTCTTTACTGCTTGGATTGATCTTTCTGATGAGTGTGAGTTTTCTCAACTGTGTCAGCTGAACGGGGTCCACTCAGTTCAAAGCTAATGTTTTCTTTGAGAATGTGGACTGTCTTCTGATTGCAGCAGATCAGTGGTTCTTAACCTTGGGTCCCCAGATGTTCTGGGACAAACTTCCAGAAACCTTCACTACTAGCTGTGCTGGCCAGGATTTCTGGGAGTTGTAGTCCAAGAACATCTGGGACCCAAGGTTGAGAAGAACTGCTGTAGACTCCAAGCTTTGTTAAAGATAGTGATTGGTTGTGACATTTTTCACCCTGCCACCACTACTGTTGCACCCTGAATCCCTTCATTTCCTCCCCCTTGCGACTTCGTCTACCCTGCCACCACTCTCTTCTCCCGCCTTCTTTTCCCTCTTTACCCCGACATCTTTCTTTGAGGGGTTCTTCCTAGACATCATGGCCAAGTTGCCCACTGTAGAATAGGCAATCACCATGACCACTCTGCCTACTATGTCTTGTTCTAAGAAATGATCCCTTGAAGCTGAGGATGTAGGGCCTTCTAGGCTCTGCAGAGATCCAGACCAGATGTTTATCTGTGGTGGCATTTTTGCAATAGAAAAGAAGACATCCCAACTATCCAGAGTGGAACAATCTCTGGAAAGATCACTCAGGTGCAGTGGCTCCTCCACACACCTGCAATAGCACCTCCCAGCTGCAACATTTGCCACATACAAAGATGATTATTGGTGCACCTCACAAAATGGTGGTGGTGGCGGCTTATCTGAGCAGGGGAGATTTGCTGCCCCCTTTTTTTGCCACCTCAGGTGGGATTCAAGCAACCTTGTGGGAAAAACAACCCTGGTTGTTTTGTGTGTAATGGCAGCAGACATGCGGCCAAGTTGTATGTGTTAGAGAGCCTTACTGCTTTTGCTGGTAGCAAATTCCATAGTAGGCATCTATGTTGTACTGAAGATGTTCTTCTGTTTCTCTGCCCTTTTACCCTACCATTCAGCTTCATTGGATGAATCTGGATTCTAGTATTATGACAGGGGAAAAATAGCTTTCTATCCATTATTTTTGCACTATGTGTAATTTTATACACTTCTGTCATATCCTCTCCTTTCCCCCCCTCTTTTTTTTGTAAATGAAAGGTTCCCAAATGCTGCAAATGTTCTTTTTTTAGGATAGTTGCTCCACCCTTCTCTTTATTTTCACTGCCTTTTTCTGCACATTTCCCAGCTGTATGATAGCAATTTGGTGGCATGCGGTAACCTGAAATTTATCCCAAGTGTATTTGCCCCATAAGATTTGTACAGAAGCATTACAACATTGATGGCCAAAATTCAGTTGTGAAACACCACACATGTAAAAGGAATAGCACCAGCAATTTTCAGAATTTTCTGTCTATTGGTACACATCCAGGTGCATGATAGACAGTCAGAACAGTTGTACACCCCACAATGGTTGCAGTGATTGCAACAGGATTCTGGCTAACATTTGGCTTGTGATTCATTTCCTCTTGACTCCTGGAATGGAATCAATTTTTTCACAGCTGTCATATACTGGGTTAACCTTTTCAGTAGGCTGTGACCACAGAATTCCTTTTTTGTCATGCACTCCCATCTATGTATAAGGAAAGTTAGGATTTTCTGCTCGCTGTGCATCACTTTAGACTGAACGTATACACTGAACCACATTTGTCACTTTAACTGTCTGCTCATGTACTGTATTTGGAAATATCTTTTGGGAGTTCATTGCAATTACAGTACTTCTTGTTTTTACCACTCTGACTAACTTGTGTTTTCTGACCTCTAACTCACCTTCAGCTCCTCTAAAGACCAGTTAGATAATTTATGAACAAGTTCAGAAGTGCCATGCCCAGTATAAGCCTTTGAGGAAACTTCATTTATTACATGTTTCCATAGTGAAGACTGCTTGTTTACTGATGCTGGATCAGAGCCATATAATGGTAGGGAGAAAGTTGTTCATTGTTATTGCATTGAAATAAAAATCTGTACATATTCTGTCCCTTGTCAATATCTCTTTATCACTTGCTTTCCCCCTCCCCCTCATACTAGCCCCTAAGGCATGACTTCCACACACTTTCTCACTTAGTAATTCTTCAGCTTCTGAAATATATATTTTGGAGAGGAGTTTGACTAAATAGCTTTGTAAATACTAGCAGAACAAATAGCACTTGCCCTCCCCTTGCCATCCTTGAGGCCTGGCCAGTGTTTATAATCAAAGGTATTAACAAAAGGCATTTGTTCCAGATTTCCTTAATAGAGAGAGTTAGTTTTCATGCTACCCAGTCCTAGCTGGTAAATTCTGTAAACCACCTGAAATGACAGAATGTGTTCTGAATTTGTTTAAACCACAGACTTCATTTGTTTTGTTTGATAAGACTAGATTCTCCATAATGTGAATTTTTTTTGGTGCACTTTAAATAAAGAGCTTGTATGTAAATTGTTTGAACTGTGAACCATAATGAAGCAAATAAATATCATGTATAGCAACTATGTGTCTTGTTTTTCCTAGCTTTTCTGAGCATATCCAAGGGAACTCTTGGAGGGAGAGCACACGTGATGTCTTCAGTAGAGTCCTAAGTCTGTGAGCGACTGTACATAATTTCTGTGGTGACCCTGCCATGGGAATAAATTTACTGAAGTCATGACATGCAGGCAGCTTCTGCACAGGGCCCCATGTGGGAAGACATGGGAGTCGCACAGTGCCAACTAGCTAGTCCATCATGAAGGGACTTTTCCTTCCCCTCACTGCCCATCTCTGACTGGGATTTTTTACAGCATTGCTTGACTGGCTCTTATGTTAATCACACAACTCCCTCCCTCAGTCAGCTTTAAAATTGTGTTTGTGTATATATCCCAAACAAAGCAGACACCTAGATAAATGTAGCAGTACAGGAGTGAAGGCAGCAAGAGACATTAACACTCAGTAAAATCAATCAAACTGTATATTTGTATGCAGATTCTGTGAGAAAACTCCATTACAGTGGGTGTGGGGGGAGAAATGTGGCAGGTTGGAAAAGCATTAGGAACCCATCAGTGTGTGGTTGAAGCCCCGGTCATGTGTAACTCATGCAAATGGGTTCCATGCACTTAACAGTGCTGCTGGCCCCACCCTCATTTGCATCCACCCTCCTGGTTCTGTCTCCAACCTGCTTACATTGCATGAGGGTCTAAAGCAGGGATGGCCCTCCATTTTTGTTGGTTGGCAGCTCCAAGAACCCATAGCCAACGGTGAGGAATCCTGAGAGCGGCGGTCTAACATCTGGAGGGCTGAATTCTGTGCACCTTTGATCTGAAGGGAGAGCTAGGTAGATGCTTTCTCCAGTTGGACTGTGTGAAAGAAAATGCAGGCAGACACCATTTCTTCATTCTTGGCCCTTTAGAAAGTGTCCTGCTTTAAAATGCCTTTTTAGTGAATGTTTTGACCCTAGCTCAGATATAGATATAAGGTGAAGCTTTCTTACGTCTCCCCTCCACCACCAGGCTATTAATCTCACAAAACATACAGTATTTAGAAAACTATAAACAAGCCAAGAATCATTCACTGTGGAGTATATGTTCACTGAAACATTTGAGACCTGAACTAAACATAAATTTGATTTATTCTGATCCCAATGTTGGCCAGAATTGTGCTGTCCGGCCAAAGCACAAGCCTCACACTGATTCCAAATTTCCCAGCAGAATGAAACAAAGAAGCTGAAACCCCAGAATAGGCTAGTGTACTGGATTAGAGTTCTCTTCGTTTTCTACTCTCTGGAAAACCCTCCCCATCTGTCCTAACAGGGATCCTCCACAACAGCCTTTCTCAGGACCTCATTCATCTCCAGGTCAGGCTCCCTCTGTAGCACCTTCTGTTGCAGCTCAGAGTAGAAATCAACAACTTCGGAGACGGAATGGGGAAGTTTATCTTGGTGCTGGTAGAAGCCACCTGCTTGGTCTCTGTGGTGGTGGTACTGTGGTGGCATGAAGCACTGATGGTGTTGAGATTGGTTGGCTGAAAAGCTCCCTTCGCAGGCTTTCTCATGGTTGCGTTTGAATGCCAGTACAGTCTTGGTGTATGTGTTCAGTGTTGTGACTGCAGAAGCCATGCAACATGTAAAGGAGGCCCATGCCATACTGAAAGAGAGAGGGGATGGGGAGAATAAGGGTCTTATAACTGGACTTTATTTTCACACTTAAGCATTGTGGGGTTGTAGCAGTGGTGTTCATACCTCCCACTATTCAGTTAAGTAGGAAATAACTTCCATAGTTTCAGTGCATTTGGGGAGCACATGAGAGCTAGTCTATGTAAGGTTAGAGTGTTGGGATTGGTGTGGTCTGGTGTTCAAGTTGCCATTCCTTGGTGAAGCTCATGGAGAATGAGTTTTGGCCAATAACTGCTTCTCGTCCCAACTTACCTCACACGATTATCATGAGGATAAAATGTGGTAAGGGGACTACGTACACTGGCTTCAGTTCCTTGGGTGAAATGCAAATATATATGTAAAACAAACAATGACTTCAGAAGGTAAAGCCCACAACAGAGTGACACCAGAAGGAAAACGTAGAGGGTGTATTTGTCCGCCAAAGAAACCTAGGTCCCATTCTAGGTTTCTGCAGCTTTTTTTTAAATTCTTACATTTATATCCTACCTTTCCTTCAATGGCCAGAATCCTGTTGCTGATTTACACTTGTATAAGGGAACTGACATAATTCATGTTGGCAAATTGCTTCTCATTAATGAGCTGCTGGTTGTACTTCTGCATGCAAGCAATTGTACAATCAGGCACTTTGCCAGGAAGGCAACTTGCATTTCACTAACGAATGGAAATTTGCCACCAAGACTCATGCAATTATTGTGCAAGTGTAAAATGGCAAAAGAATTTTGGTCATGGAGTCCATGGTGGTGTACCTGGCTTTCCATCCACTTCACTGTCCACCCTTTATTCCTCCAAGGATCTGAGGAATTAGATAAGATGGCCAGGTTAACAGCACTCCATTCTCTGAGATTTCACTGCCAAAATGTGCCTCCTGCGATGTCACGGGAGCACACCTTTCGATGGCACAGCAAACTCAGTAACAACCTCTAATCCAGAGGCCAGTGTGTGCATTTCAGTCTGTGTAACAGCTCTAGAACATCGAAGGTAACAAGAAACAAAAGTTCTTCTAAGCATATCTATGTGGCATGTTCTGAGGCAAACAGCTGTGTCACAAAATGGTCTCTAAAACCTCAGTCAGCCTGAAACCCACCTGAGAAGGTATGACCAAGGTCACCCACTGACTTCACAGTTCATTGGGGATGTGTGAACACCTGGGTTTCTGAAGTCCCAGTCCAACATTTTAACCACTTTGCCACTTTGGCTGTGCTACACTGCTGCCTATCCGGCTCCTCCTTTACTGATCACAGCTTTTCTAGTAGATGGTAGAGGAGGGTGATGTGGTAAAGATCACAAGTCATTCTACTGGTCTTTTAGATGCTAGTTACTTTCCTGCCTTCTCTGTCCTTTTTGTCTTATGTTTTGTTATGTATTAAGATTATAAGCAGGTGGACAGGGATTTTTTAACTGATTATACCTAAGCCATTTTGAAATACTTTTTGCTTGAAGTGTGGAATGGGATAAAATACTTGAAATAAAAAGGTGAATTGCATACACGAAGAGCCCTGGGGCCTGAATTTTTGTTGTTGTTGTTTAGTCATTTAGTTCTGTCCAGCTCTTCGTGACCCCATGGACCAGAGCATGCCAGGCAGTCTTCCACTGCCTTCCGGAGTTTGGTCAAATTCATGTTGGT